CAGTGAGAGGAATATATAGCGAATTTTGGTTTGCTGTGAGGATCAGCCACCTTAATTGCAAGGAGCGCTTCTTTTATTTTTGGATATTGGATTGGGTGGAAGGATATGATTTGAGCCTGAAATTGAAACTTTAGACTAAAACTCTCTTCTACAATGTTGTTCCTTATAGTTAGACCCTAATTTTAATGACAATAGATTCTAGGGTGCTTCTTATCATCATTAAAATTAAAAAAATCAAACTTTTTTGTTTGAAGAAATTTAGGTATACATTTATCGGCAACGTTATAGCTGAGCTAATTTTAATTGACCAATTGAGAGCTATTTTATTGAATTGTTGTTGAACAGTTGTTTTGCTCTAGTTTTTTTATTACAAATTTCTCAGCAAAAATGTCTTCAAATAACTTTTAGATCTTTAGAAGGCACAATTTTTTGCTGCACAATGCTTTTCAATATCTTTCGCCGCCAAAAACTTTTTTTTTGTTGCCCGAACCAGAGATATTAACATTTGAAAAGGGCATATTTTTAGTAGAAGCACATCATTCACTCTTGATCGGTGAAAGATATTGACAAGCTTTGTGCAGCAAAAATTTGCATCTTCTAAAGATCTAAAAGTTATTTGCAGACATCTCTGCTGAGAAATTTGAAATAAGAAAACTAGAGCAAAACAACTGTTTATTTTAGAGACGCCCTAACTCAATTCAAGAAAATAGCTCTAAATTGATCAATTTAAGAGATAAAAAAAGTTTGTTTTTACAAATTTGCTCAAAATTAGCTCAGCTATAACTTTGCCGATAAATGTATACCTAAATTACTTCAAACAAAAAATTTAGATTTTTTGTTTTAATGATAATAAGAACTACACTAGAATTCATTGCCAGAAAAATGAGGGCGTAACTATGAGGAACAATTTTAAAGAAGATACTTTTAGTCTAAAGTTTCAATTTCAGGCTCCACCTAAATCTGATCAAAATAAATGGATCAAACTTATTAATTTGCTGGTCAAAATTTCAAAAAGTTGCTAAATTTTTACATAAACTGGGGTCTGGATTTGGAAAAAATTAGCATTAGCATTAACATTCGCATCGAACAAGTTGCACAATATCGTATGTGGTACGAATTCACAACTATTAAGAGCAAGACGGATATCTGTAACTGGACAGATAGTAAGTAGGAAATTATTACTATCTCCCAGATAAAGACATATCCCGCTCCAACAGTTAAGGATTGTCCTGGCCACGTCCTTACAACTGGTAGGGATAGGAAAGGTATGTTAGTCCAACATTTACTTAAGAGAGATCTGGATTTGGATTTACTTAAGAGGGGTCTGGATTTGGAAATATGTACTAAAATTCGTTTAAATTTGAATCGAAAGAGCAGGGTTGGGACCCACCCTAATAAACATGTGTTTTCATTTCCCGGTCATTTCGGACTACCCATGAATTACCAAAAGAGCCACCAACTATGCAAATCATTAACTTCACTAATGGAGTAATACAAACATAATTAGTTAAAGCAAAAAAATTTAATATTTTGTCCCACAAGATTTGCATGAATACTTCCAAATCCTTTTCCTGACTTCAATTGGAAGATATGTCCATCGTCCTCTGGAATTTTCTTCCAATTTCTCATAGAATCTTCTTCTAAATTTCCCTAGAAAATTTTTCCATTTTTTCTCGGAAATTACTTCTAATGTTCTCCGGAAGTTTCTATAAATCATCTCATGAAATATCTGAAGTGGAAATTGATTCTTATTGCACACAGAAATGCCTTCGGACTTGCCCTGAAAGACTCTTCTGACTTCTACTGGAACTCTTTCCGACTTTCCCATAAGCCATTGTGACTTCCCATGCAATGGGCCTCCAACTTCTGCGACAAATTTTTGTTTTTCAGTGTTCACCCGGAAAATCCATTCTATTTTTGCTGGAAGGTTCTAGTCTAGCTTCCTCCAGAATGTTCTGTTATCTTGCCCGGGAAGTTTCTACCGGAATGAACATCCACTCCAGCTTGATCTGATTTCCCACAGAAGTTTTAACCGACTTTGTTTGGAGACTTCTTCTGACTTCGTACGAAAGCTTCTTCCAACTTCCTTCGGAAGTGTCTTCCGACTTCCCTGGATTTCTACTTTTTCTTATTCATCTTCTTTGCATTTCAAGTTTATTGCTTATTGTTTATTATCTTATGGTGTGCTCTCAAATTAGTGTTCTAGGTGCGCTTCCACAGTTATTAATTGAGAGCTTTTGATGCCTGTACCATTTTTCCATTAGTATAATTAAGTGGCAAGTACAAACATACTCTACGCCCAGGGAAGTCACGACATTTTCCAATCCGAAGAATTTCCTAGACCGCACCGGGAATCAAACCAAGTCACCTCCAGCATGGTCTTGCTTTGTAGTTGTGCCTATACTGACTAAGGTAAGGAAGATCCCGTTTGATTTCCCTATTTTCTTCGGAAGTTTCATCTTATTTCCTCCGGAAGAGTCTTCGGCCTTCTCGTTGAAGTGTTGTCTGACCTCCCGCTAAAGTTCTTCTAGCTTCTCCTGGAACTGTCCTCTAATTACCACGCGAAGTTTTTCCAAGACCCTGGGAAATTGCTTGAGACTTTTCCCGGAAGATTCTTTCAACATCCCCTGTTTCTACCTACTCCTCTAGTTAGGTTCTTCTAAAGGGTGTCCCACATCAAATCACGGAAAAAACGCTGTAGAAAATTATCTAGTTGACAGATCCTTTTCAAACTTTCAGACAATAAAATATTACCCATTAGAAAGCTTTTGGCATATTTATTTCATTCAACTTCAATACCATAACCGTACACTCGCACCACCTTACGTTTAACTCGACTCCACTTCTGTACAACATCTGGCTACATCTTTTTCTGTACGGAAACCCACTTTTTCTTCATGTCTTCCTCAGATTTGACCACCTTGGGATGCTTCCGTAGTGCCTGATTCATAATAGCCCAGTATTGTTCGATCATCCATGATAAGACAATGAGGCTTTGTCAGCATCTGGGTGTACAGTTTCCGGGCCCGTGACTTTCCCACCGTATTATGCCGCTCGTCACGATTTGGAGCACTTTGATTTCTGCACTTTGTACGTATGCAGTCCCTCCCGGTCCTTGGATCTCTGAACGAAAGACTTGGAGAGAGATTCAACTTTTTGGCCACATCCCTGACCGAAGCATTGGGATTAAACGCTTAAACGCTTTCACGACACGCTTGTGATCCTGATCACTAATAGAACATCCATTCTGACCGCATTTCTCTTTCCGTTCGATGCTCAGAGTTGCGTAGTAACGTTAAATCACACGACTCATCGTTGACTGCACGATTCCGAGTTGTTTTCCGATGTCCCGATGAGAGAGTTGAGGATTTTCCAGGTGCTTGTGCAAAATCAATTCGCGACTTTGATTTTTGGGTGACGCCATTTTATCCAACTTTCGAAAAACTGACAGTGATAAAATACAATGTAAACAATACACTCTAAACTACTTCTACCCTGATTTTTAAGAGGAAATAGCCAATGGGTAATTTTCAACAGCGTTTTTGCAATTTGATGTGGGACACCCTTTAATTTTCCCAAGTAAAACAAATAAGTAAATTTCCCGGATGCTGTGGTGTATTGCATGTGTATGTTCAGGATGGCTTTCTTTTCCCGGGAAATCGAACCAATTTCTCGGGAAACGTGATATTTTGAATCCAGCCTTATATTTGAATAGGGTCTATAGAATGCTATGTTAATCTTCAGAAAATTGTTACTCGAAAACTGTTCGTCCAGTGCATATCTTAATGCAGTTTATATATAAATTAATACTTTAAAATCAATTTTCTCAGAACGGAACACAGCGAATTATATTCTAATGATGATTCCAAACCGCTTCATCTCGATCAAGGTGTGACTTAGCAAATTTTTTTGCAAGTGCTGTTTTATTGTAAATTTGGTGTTCTTTAATTTTAAGTCTGAAAAAATTGGACCTAGTTTAAGATATTTTTCCAGAAATTTAAATATTATAACTTTTTTATCCATCATTTTTCCATCTTAACCCACAATGCAGTAGATGGCAATGGTTAAACCCTAAAGATATAAAAAAAAAAATACCAAAATTCAGATTTGAAGAAAATAATTTTTAAGTTTTAATTTAAAATTAAAAAAAAATATGTGCATTTTTTGGGTGCGCATTTGTTCCTTAAAGTTTCTCAGCCATTACCTATAGTTTCCTGAAGATTAGCTTAGCATTATCTATAGGCCATTTTCAAAAATTAGGGTGGATTCGAAATGGTGATCTGAAGATACAAAATTGCATTTTTGGTCATAAGGAACGTTTCTAAAAAATTTCAGCCAAATTACAAAATTCCAAAATCAGTCGGTACTGAACTAAAACATGAAGGTCTTCAGGACATTGTTCAAGACTTCATTAAGCCATAAAAACTTCAAGCTCTTTACTCCAGAATAGTTTGGAAGAATTAAATTTCTAATTGATACCATTCCATGCTGTGCATGTTGCTAAGAGGCTCTCTTGAATGTCACGTACTCAAAAGATTTTCAGGATAATTTAAAGACTTCATTAAGCCTGTAGAACTCCAAGACCTTAACTCCAGAATAGCTTAGGGAGTGTTAAATACCTTATAGATACCAATCCATAATGTGTATGTTAAGCAATAAATTCTTCATTTTTCAATATCATCACTATGCCCCTTTTTTCTCGAGGTTCTACAAAGTTCAAGTAGTAAAATACGTCACTTTTATAACGTGATCCATTAATAACGTGATTCATTGATTTCGGTTTCTTGCTCAATCGACTTTTTGCTATGTAGAGCCGACATAGGGCTCATGTATTATAATATAATGTTTTATATTAGCCGCATATCGGTCAGTTTCAAAGCCGCATGGTAAATCCGAGGGATTGTTGGTTACCTGGGAATAGCTTCGTTCTTCTTCCGTTACATGTACTTCTCGACATAAATTTACAATAATGACATAGATAACTTCCTCTAACCACCTACCTTGAGTACTAATGGCGGTTCCCTGAGTAGTGTTTGCTCCGACATTGTCGTACAGTGAAGTGCTAGACGTAGCCGTGGCAATCTTCTCACTCCTGAGCGTTTCCGTTTCAGTGGCACGATTGGTAGCCCGGGGCAGCGTCGATGATGCTACAAGAGAAACGATGTATCAGAGTTACATCAGAAGGCACCCTTGAAAGATAGACCTACCTCGGTAGCGTGGATCCTGAGCCCGGATGCGTGCGTACTGCTCGGCGGTCATGCAGGTGCACTGCGGTTCACGGGCCCTCGACGGACTCGCCGGGGTGCTGAGTGGTTTTCTTTTCGTTTTTACCTTACCCTTCCCGGGTGGATCAAGTTTTAGTGAATAGCTTGAGGAGGCCTTTCGTGAAAATTTGAAAGAAGGCGACTGTAAAACGTCGCACTATTATTAGGGTAAATGAATGATGTTGGTTGGTTGGGACACAGAGGCGATCACGAGAGCGAAAGAAACGAGATTTTCACACGGTTTTCGCTAGAATTTTGACTGGCGGGAGGTGTTACGACATCGGAGAATCGGGATATGGATAGGAGTGATTTGGTGCGGGGCGGGGCTATGTGTGTGAGGGTTTGTTTGCTTTATGTCATGGAGTTTAGTTTTGCGATGTTGGTTAGATCGAATAATAGTGCAACATTTTATAATCATTTTTTAAATAGAATTTTGAAACTTATTTAGTGAGTAGTCTTTCATTGGAAGATAGAGGATCGTGGGGTTTGTAGGGTGCTAATCACTAGAAGGATAGTACATTTATCTCAGTAAATAAACACAGAATATTGATTAGTTTTTCCATTGGTATAGTTACTGTTTTCATTATAAATACTTACACAACATTCGCGGAACTGTTTGGCATCGATAGGAGAAGTAAAGTTGAGACCCCAGGTATCGCTGGTCATCGGATCTTTCCAGTAAACAAAGCATTCCGACGCCTGGCCGATCCGGGTGCCTAAAAAAAATAATCCAATCAGATAAGTCAATTTCTCGTTTCTTCCATCGCTAAGTTAGCAGATACCTGGTTGAATTAGTCGCACGTCGAGAATCTTGTCCACCTGACTGTTGTAGGCGGTGATGTGGAAGATGCACTCGGGTGAATCTTGGATGCAGGTGATGTTGACAGGAACTAGATCTTCGGACACTTGTTGCCATTTGACGGTCCCGGTACCGCTGGCCGAAACGTGGAATACTTCCGCCCACAACCTAAATACACTAGAAAGAGTTAGAAAGGGGAAAAGGAACAGGGGGAAGAAACGAGGGTGGTGGTTGGTTGATGAAACCATGGTGCGATCGTTAGGAATCACAACAACTTCAACAGATTACTTCCCGAAATCAGTGTCAGTTTGATGGGAAGCTCACTCACAGTAAACAACTCTTTGTCAGTGTCATCGTGTTGTCGTTGTTGTTTCGTGCACAAACATTCACACAAGCTTTTACTCTAAGCAGGGTAATAAGCAATTCCGATTGAGCACATGGTTTCGATGAGCTAGCAGTGATTCTTAACGTTTTTTTTTTTCTTCTTTTCCTTTATTTAACGTCGGTCTCTGTTCCGCAATCTAGTGCCAATCACCGACGAACATCGATTGCCATCCATTGACGGCAATCGAATGTGCAGGAAGGCAGCTTCCACACCTGCGTAGGATATCGCACCCATTCAACACACATGGGCCGGGACCAACGGCTTTACTTCCCTTCCGAAGGAAGACGTGACCAGAGATTTTTTTGCCTCAGAAAAATCCCACCGACCTCGGCTGGGATTGAACCCAGACCCATTGGGGTGTTAGAAAGCAGCCACGCTTACCTCTACACCACCGGCGCCGGCTTTCTTAACGTTTTGTATTTGTTGAATTTTGGATTGTAAAATAGGACCCATGATGCAGCACTCAATATAGATACAAATTTAAAATAACGGGTTTGTTACAGTAAATTCCAAAGTCTCGAGTTTACTATTTTTATTTTTTTTTATTTATTTATTTGTCTTCAATTGACAGATTTCACACCAACTCGACCAGTTTCACAGTAAGACAGAAACCTCTTAGATTCCAATGAGACTTTGTGGGTGTAAAGATCGTCTACTTAATCAACTAACAGTATGCAACTTATGTTCCTTGAAATTGCTGAAAAAATAGACTTAGTAAAATTTTCGTCAATTTTTATCATTTTCCTGTAGGTTTTTTAGGTTTTACACAGGAAAACATGAGGGAAATTTACTCATCGCTGATCACCTGCAGTTTTTGCAATTCTGAGTATACTAAACTCAAATTTGGGTTCTTAAAAAGTCCACATTTTTGATCGAAGTGTTTATTTATTTATTTATTCGTCAAACAAAATCGTACACTAGGGGAAATGGATGTAATATCGGCCTAAATGCCCATAATTTGGGCCCATACATAAATTCAGTAATTGACTAAATTTTCAAGAGCAATCAAAACTATCCATTAGTACTGTTCCAATGACGCGTTCATCTGGATAAAATTGATAAATAGCAGATTTTTAGCGATGGGCCCAATCTTAGATCCATAGGCCAACATCAGAGCCATTTCCCCTACCTGATAACATTATAAATTATAATCTATGATTTCGCAATGCTTGAAAATATATTATTTTTTTCAATTTCAGCGGAGGAATATATACAGGTGTAGATTAGTCATGTGTGCCGCCACGCCGTACCGCCGCCGTCGGTATTTTTTCACACGCCGCCGCCGCCAACAATTTTGAGTCAGCGCGCCGCCGTGATGATTTTTGATACGCCGCCGTTATAATTTTAGATACGCCGTCAACGTAATATTTTTTGTGCTTTTAAATTTTGAAAGACGCGTTTCTCGCCAACCATTGCACTTAATAAAACACAAACAAGGACAAATTTCCCAAAAACAATACCGTGGACTCCAGATAAACTGACACGTCGTGCAAATTATTGCTCAAACGACATATAGCAGATGGAATGGAGAAAAGCGAAATGAGACGATGCGAAACGGAACGCACAATAAAAACAAAACAGCAAATAAGGCTACCAGAATTTCCCTTTTCTGATGGTCATAGGGTTACTAGAACTTCAAATTAAAAATGTTCTCCTATAATATGCACGAAGTGTCGTTCATGTTGACGGGGGTCCACGGGACACAAAAGAACATCGTTTCTTTATCATAGACTTGATTTTTACTGTTTCCGCAGGTACCGGAGTTTCAAGCACATCCTTTCTATGCTCATGGAAGTCGAGAAAATTTCAACCCAGTAATATTTTATTGACCAGCCTGAAAATCGAAACCACCGTCGTCGGTTTGGTAAAATCATCAAAACTGGATAATAGGGATGGTCAGGTATGCAATTGAAATACCCGAACTCGAGCCGTACCCGATTCTTAAAATTTTCGAGAACCCGTACCCGACCCGAACCAGAAATGTGATTTTTTCAGGGTATGGTTTGAGTTATGGGTAAACAAACCCGTTCCTGTTCATCTACAGTTCAATAAACACATATACTTATTTATAAAGTTTCTGTGTATGTCAAGGCACATGATATTTGTTGAAGAAATTCGCCAAATATCTTGTTTTGATGCTCAAAATCATTAAATTCATAATTTAAAGTTTAAAAAAATAAACAATATTAGCAAAATTTTTAGCTCATTGGCTAGTTAATCTCGTAATTTTTAATTGGATAATATGCAAAAATACCCATACCCGACTTTTCCACGTTTGTTGTTACTCGTACCCGACCCGAACCCGAAAATTTATTTATTTGCGGACCCGTACCCAACCGAACCCGTTGAACCTGACCATCTCTCCTGAATAGGCTATTTAATGCGGGATGATTTTAGTTACTGAAAATAAAAAAAACACCTTGGGAAATGGTTCCAATACTGAAATATTTTGATGGAGTTTTCGGCAACAAATTCAAAATCTAGTTTTCTGCAAAAAGTCACATTTACAGTAAAACAATATTTTGGGTTAAATTCAACTTTGAAATGTGACATTTTGACAGCCACCCTAGTGATACTCCGATGCACGCCGCCGCCAAGGAAAAAATGGTTTCTACGCCACCGCACAGTGGCACGAATATGAATAAAGACGGTCAAAAATATTTTCTACCCTTTTTCGACGTTTTAGAGACTGGGTGTCTTGGGAGAAGTTGCTCAAAATTATAACTCGCATCTTTTGAAATACACACCTGAATAATCTTTAAGCTAGTATTACACATCCAAATTCTAACTTTTTCCAGTTACGAGATAATGGTTCCATGTCTTGGACAAAGTTGCAGAGCAGTTGATTTCATGAACATTTGCTAAAGACACCAAATTTCTACATCATAACTCTGTAGAGCTCACATCTCACTGCGTCCTAGCAAGAAGTACGGTCGACTTGTTTCGCGCTCCGTTGTTTTGGAAGTTTTCTCGGTATTCGCTTGATATAAATTATCAATTTTTTTTCTCACTAAGTGACTCCTGGCATAGTTGCCGGTAAATTGATCGAAAAGTGAGTTTTTTTTTTAGTAGAAAGTGTCATTTTCGGAAAGAGTAATCCGTGCTATTGGAAATTCGCGAACCAATTTGGGCATCATCGTTGCGTGGTCACGCATACGCGCTTACGCATACCCGCGCACGTATCATCATCATCGAGTGTGAGCACCCGTTTCTACATCTACATCGTTCATCAATCATCGTGTGCCTGTGTGCGCTGAGTACCGAGCCTCGATCAAGTGCACCACAACGAAGGTCATCCACGCAGCGCGTCTCTTCCAGCCATCTGCGTAAACGCCTACACATATAACGCTCGGTGGTAGTAGTATAGAATTATCAGATAAGTTTTTGTTTTTTTTTTGTTTCTTTTCCTCCTCCATTAGTTAAATTTTCATTTTGTATTTCTGTGTTTGTAGTGTTTTCTGTGTATTGTGTCTGTGCGTTCAGTGGGAGAGCATTTTGCGCTCCCACTAGTTGAACAAAATGGATGTTTTGTCAGAAGACGACATGGATGACCATTCATCTAAGAAAAATGATGATGTCATCCATGGTTCGTCGTCTCAGTCTGACAATGGGCAGGCTGAGAAAAGCTCCAGATTGCGGGCCTACCCGAATGACTCGACTGGCCCATGGGTTGTCTATTTTCAGCCCAAAAACAAACCCTTGAATGTTGTTCAGATATCTGATGATCTGACAAAGCGATTCTCTGCCGTGACCGAAATAACGAAGGTTAGGCACAACAAACTTCGTGTGACCGTCGCTAACCTGAAACAGGCCAATGAAATTGCTGTTTCCCAGTTTTTCACACTGGAATATAGGGTGTACATTCCAGCCTCTGATGTGGAGATCGAAGGCGTGGTCACTGAGGCGAGTCTGAACCCCGAGATACTGGAGAAGCAAGCGGTTGGCCGATTCAAGAACCCCTTGCTTCCTCCGGTAAAGATACTGGCCGTTCATAGAATGAAGTCAGTATCGCTCAGCGAGGGTAAAAAGAGTTTTACCCCCACAGACTCGTTTCGGGTGACCTTTTCTGGATCTGCCCTTCCTCAATACATCGAGCTGGGAAAACTTCGTCTTCCTGTGCGGTTGTTTGTACCTCGGGTCATGAACTGCCAGAATTGTAAGCGGTTGGGACATACGGCCTCCCACTGCGGCAACAAGGCACGCTGCTCCACATGCGGGGAGAAGCATGAGGATGGCACCTGCGCAGCTACTGCACCAAAATGCGTGTACTGCAACGGAACTCCTCCTCATGCTCTCTCGTCGTGCCCGGCGTACAAACAGCTCGGGGACAAAATGAAACGCTCCCTTAAGGAACGTTCCAGGCGGTCTTTTGCAGAAATGCTTAAGACAGCCACGCCATCGACCAATGACAAAAATCCCTTTTCTCTTTTGTCAGATGACGAGACTGACTCTGACTTGGCTGAGGAGGGAACTTCTTTCAGTTTTCCGGAAGGTTCTGCACGGAAACGAAAGCGCATCCGTTCGCGGATTGTTGCAAATAAAGAACCCCAAATCAGCTTGCCCAAATCAAGAAGTGGTGGAAAAAAGGAGACTTCTACTCCTCCTGGATTCCGCAGAACTGACTATACCCAGGATTTTCCACCTCTTCCGGGGACATCCAAAACCCCTGATGCCCCAATTTTAAGAACAGAAACCCCTTCTTCATCTGGGTTGTTCTCATTTGATGACATTGTGGACGGTATTCTCAAATACCTCAACATTTCTGATCCTCTGAAAAGCATTGTCCTCACAT